TCTATTTAAAATATCTTGGTCATATTGACTTTGTCTTAACAAGCTTGGATAAGGTACCAAGTTGTCTCACTTCCCTGCTCCACATCTTAGGGGTTCTCATCTTTGTGGCACTTTCAATAATGGCAGCTTCTCATATTCTGCCTTATGTGGGTCTTCCAGTATGCCCTCCACTGCAACCTTGTTTATAGAACAAAGCAATTATCATGCACCTCTACAGTTGAGGATGCCAGTGTTCAGAGAGAGGAAACACCTGGCTCAGAGTCACATGTCCCATAAGCAACAGATCTTGGGTTCAAAACTAGAGCTCCAACTTCAAATCCCATTTTCTTCCGTGCACTGCTGAACATAACCCTTCCATGCAAGCCAGTACCCATACATACATCTTGATAAGTGCTAGACAGCTTTACCAAGAAACTGCAGTCGGTTCTAATAAAACAGTGATTTTCAAGCTTGACCTAGAAACAAAGCTAGATCTTTGAAAAGAATAAAAAATCAACCGTTAATTTTTCCTGTGAGATGACACTGAAATAATAATGTGTATTCCCATTTATTTCTTAGAAGAGAATAAAGCATCAACCATTAATTTTTCCTGTGAAACGACACTTAAATAATAAATGTGTCTTCTCATTTATTTCTCCACCTCTAGTTTTCATTCAGATCAAATGAGTTCAGCGTAGCTCCTTCTATTGACTTTCCATTTCATACATCTGAATATTAAATCTTCAAACATGAGAAGTCCTTTTTCTGCTGCTCCCGTCTCTAGGCTTTGGTGGGAGCTGTGGGGTGAAGGATGTCAAAGGCCTCAAAACGGAGGAAAGAGAAATCTTTACCATGTACTTCTTGAGAAAGGCTGGCGTCAGAAGCCCCAAATACTAATTCTTATTCACATATTTTTAAAAAGAGAAGGTAAAGCGTAAACTTCATTCACTCAAACCAATGTTCACTGCTGTCTGTGCTCTGGGTCAAATGACCTTCTAAAGAGTTCTTTTTCTTTTTTTTTTCTTTTTTCTTTTTTTTTTTTTTTTGTATTTTGAGACAGAGTTTCTCTGTGTAGCTCTGGCTGTTCTGGAACTCACTCTGTAGACCAGGCTGACCTCGAACTCACTTAGATCCGCCTGCCTCTGCCTCCTGAGTGCTGGGATTAAAGGTGTGTGCCACCACCACGCAACTTCTAAAGGTTTCTAAACAACACATTTCACAAAACAAAAATAAGACAGTGAAACTTCCTTTACACTTTGTCTCAAAAATTTGGACACAGATGTCATTCACAGATTTTTAAGATTAGAAGCAAGGCTCCTACTCCGATTTCGTTCAGTGTGAGGTATGGACAAGAACCCAGAAGCCAGCCCCTTCAAGTTGGGTAGGAAGCAGCTGGCAAGCATGCATCAAGGTGGGCAGGAGAACAGTGAAACATTCAGTTCCTTGGAGATCTAGGAACCGAGTCCCCACCTGGGTTCCCAGATCTCCAGATGGCCCCAAAGCTAGTCCAGGACCACGTTAGACAGTGTCAGTGGCCAGCCTGCAGGCTCGTTGAAGCCTACACCAGTGGGTTTGTGTGACACTGTGCCAGGAGTCATCCATAGTCAGATTTAGGCTCATCCCAAATGCAAACCAATGGGCTTGGGATCCCTACCCCTAGCCACATGGTCTTCTTGAAGAAACATTTCAAAGAAAAGGTCCCAGGTGGTTCCCAGGATGGAAACCTGGGTGACACCCCACTCTTCCTGTCCTGGCTGCCTCTTGCTCAGTTGCTACAGTGAGTGATGCTAGATAGGACTGAACATTAACCTTCTAAGCTTCCTCGGCCCCTCTCTCCTTTCCTCAAGAAACTCAGTTGGTTCTTAGCCCAAATAAGTTAAAGGTAGCAGGGCAGTGGTCACACATACCTTTAATGCCAGAATTCAGAAGGCAGAGGCTGGTGGATCTCTGAATCTGCGGCCAGTCTGGTCTATACAGAGCAAGTGTCAGGACAACCAGAGCTACACAGAGAAACCCTGTCTTGAAATAGATAGATAGATAGATAGATAGATAGATAGATAGATAGATAGATAGATAGACAGATACATAGATAGATACATAGATAGATACATAGATAGATGATACATG